TCCTCTCTCTCTCTCTCTCTCTCTCTCTCTCTCTCTCTCTCTCTCTCTCTCTCTCTCTCTCTCCTCTCCTACGCCACAGACTTCGAGACTAACCTTTCCTATTGCTCCTATTGCTCTTCCCAAGAAGCTTCTGAACATCGAACTCAATATATCCGTCGGCGGTCATGGTGGATACCACGTCGTCGTCGTCGTAGTGCTGTCGCCCCCCCCTCCTCTCTCCACCTCTCTCTTGGTCCTCTGAAACGGCCGGGGGGGTGGGGGAGGGAGGCGAGAAGGGGGGGTGAGGGAATTTTTTGCTTTGGTTGCTTTGGTTGCGTCGAAGCCCCCGATAGGTGGTGGCAAGTTGGGGTGTGTGTGTGTGTGTGGGGGTATTGGGGGGTGTTTATGTTTTTTTTTTTGGGGGGGGAGGGGGGAGGTATATTTTTTTTGGGGGGGAGGGGGAGGTATATATATTTTTTTGGGGGGGGTATTTTTTTTAGGGGGGGGGGTTGTTTTTAAGTGGGTGGGAGGAGGAGTATTTATGTGTTGTAAGCGTAAGTGTGTAAGTTTTTCGTTTTGTTTTTTGTTTTTTGTTTTTGTTTTTATTTGGAAAAAGCTGTTGGTTATTTTTATTTGTGAAGGAAAGGATGAAATAAAGGCTGGTATCGGAAAACGAGCGAATGATTATGATGATGATATAATGACGATAATAATTACTGAAAATAATAATGATAATGATAAGAATAAGGATAATAATAATGAAACATATAATAATGATAACAAAATGATAAGGATAATAACAATAATAGCGAACATAATTATAATAACAACAACAATAAAAAGAAGCATAACAACAACAACAATAATAATGATGATAATAACAACAACAATAATGATAATGATAATAATATAATAATAATCTAAATATAAATGATAATATTCATGATGATAACAATAATGATTAAAGAATTTATCTTGATAACAATACTTGTAATAATAGCAATAACAACGATAATAATTTACAGTCATAATCACAATGGTAAATATACAAGTAATAAATCCAAGTTACAACAATCAAAGAAGTATGTAGGGAAATATAATTTACTATATTTCTTTTTCTTTTTCTTTTTTTCTTTTTTTTTCTTTTTTTCTCAAATGTTCTAAATCAAATCAGTTATTCATCATGAGCGCCATCCCCTATCAGGAATGCCATTAAGGCTACCAACCTCTCTGAGTAAGTCTAAGAATTGATTGCCTAGTTAAAAAAGAAGAAGATAAAAAAGAAAGAACAGAAAAAAATAAAAGAAAAGAAAAGAAAAGAAAAAAGAAAGAAAATAAAAAAAAAGAAAAGAAAAGAAAAGAAAAGAAAAAAGAAAGAAAAGAAAAGAAAAAAGAAACGAAAAAAGAAAGAAAAGAAAGAAAAGAAAAGAAAAGAAAAGGAAAGAAAAGAAAGAAAAAAAGAAAAAAATATACATATATATTGATCAATGCGTATAATACAACAATTCTAGGTACATATAATTAATTCTCTATTTGCCTATTTTTTCGTATATAAAATAGCATTAAAACGTATTTTAAAAACTCTAAAGAAACGAATATAGAAGGGCAAAACAAAGTACAGGAAATAAAGAACATCTAAGGCTATTACTATTGCCTTCACTACGGTCTAAATCTTCAGAATATGAAACTTAACTCAGGGATACTAAACACATAATATAATGTAGGGGATGCAGTGTAAGAATAAATGATGAAATGATGGATAAATACGTGTAGGAAGAAGACAATAATAACGGAAAGACTGAATGAATGAAAGAAAACGAGAGATAACCACACACACACAAGCGCGCGCACACAGATTTTCATTGTAAGATCTAATGAATCATGCCACTGCGGCACTTTAGTGAGTTCTCTCTCTCTCTCTCTCTCTCTCTCTCTTTCTCTCTCTTTATATCCCCCCTTTTCTCTCTCTCTCTCTCTCTCTCTCTCTCTCTCTCTCTCTCTCTCTCTCTCTCTCTCTCTCTCTCTCTCTCTCTATCCCCCCCCCTCTCTCTCTCTCTCTCTCCATCCTTCCCTCCCTCCCCCCCTCTCTCTCTCTCCCCCCCCCCCTCTCTCTCTCTCTCTCCATCCTTCCCTCCCTCCCCCACTCTCTCTCTCTTCTCTCTCTCTCTCTCTCTCTTTCTCTCTCTCTCTCTCTCTCTCTCTCTCTCTCTCTCTCTCTCTCTCTCTCTCTCTCTCTCTCTCTCTCTCTCTCTCTCTCTCTCTCTCTCTCTCTCTCCCCCTTTCTCTCTCTCTTTTTCTCTCTTGCCCTCTCTCTTCCTCTCGGTATGCTGTTATTACTAAAGACAACTGCTCCCCTAATGTGTAAATAAACGAATAAGTAAATGAAGGATTTAACGAAAAGATAATTTTAAAATAAGTTAGTAAAATGCCTATTCAAGTAATTGAACATAAACAATAAAAAATATATAATATATAAAACATAAACAATAGAATATATAAATATAATCAAACATGAACATAA